AAAATTATTTGGCACCGCTTCAACAGTTTGTGCAACCAACTTGTCCACACAACCGAGCAGCCAAGCAGTAAAATACTAAATCTTTATGGCATGAAGGAACTGGGCGTCGGAACAACAAGGTGCTCCGGAGTTCGGGTCCCTGATTTTTTTCCTACATCGGCTGGCCAGTGCAGGGCACTGGTAAGAGATGTAGCAACAGTTGTATTTACACCGATTTTGGCATACATAGTGGATGGCCTTAGTGCTATTAGTTCTATGTTACTAAATTTGTGCATGTACACACCTATTAGTATCAATTTGCTGTCATCCAAACACTGTCGCTATGCTGTTGCAGTTATATTTACCTTCCTCTTAAAATGTTCAATTTGTTATTTATAGTACATGAGTAAGAACTTGTAGCGTTGTTGTAGTTAATTATAGTTTCTGATGTTTTAGAATTTGGTTGTTGTCTCAGTAGCAATTAATTCATTTGCACATTGATATTTTTGAGAAGATATGTCATAATTAACCTGTTTCTTCAATTTTTCAAAATAAGTATTGGTGATTTTCTATGTTTCTATAAACCCATTTTCCCTACAATTGTTACTGATTTAGTTTTAAATATTTTAGGATGAAAGGAAGTCTTCTTACTTGGAGTGGGTTGATCAAGAGTGGCCACAGTCTTTGAAGATGTGCCTAGCAAAGCTCTGGAGCATGTATCAGGAAGAGAATAGAGGTAGGCTTAGATAAAGTGTTGTCAACGCTGAAGAATATTTGAAGATGCGGGATAAAAAGAGGAAGGTGGAGAATGAGCTCAGATTTTTTATACCAGACTTTGCTAAGATGGTGTTGGCGAAGGAGGAGGCACTTTCCCAGTTGGCTAGTGAAAAACAGGTTCTTACTGAACTGAAAGCAGAGGTGGATCAGACGAGCCTGGATGATCTCGATTAGGGAAATGAATATATTGTTCTAATATTATTCTTATGAAGTTGAACTAGCTATATGTTGTAATGTGCTGTTTTCAGGCAGCTATCGTACTGTGATATTAAAATATATCTATGTGCCTGATATGAAATTGGCAAACAGCTGTTCGATATGAAATGTGAATTTGTGTAATACTGGAATTATTAATTAGAAACTAATGAACCTGCTAAATGGGTCATGGAACTTTGCAAATGGTTCTAGAAGTAAAAGCACTTGTGATAGATAGCCCAATGCCACACAGTTTTCTTCATCAAATCATGTGTGATGTAAATGATAAAAGCAAACGTTTAACCAAGGCGGAGCGTGTGTGATAGTTACACCTATCACACACGAGGCTATACATAAACCTGTGTGGGATGTACATACGAACGAAAACGTTTTCCCTGGATTGGCTGTGTGGGATGTACATACGAACGAAAACGTTTTCCTGGATTGACTGTGTGCGATGTACATACGAACAAAAACATTTTCCCTAGATTGACTGTGTGGGATGTACATAAGAACGGAAACGTACTCCTTGATTGGATTGACTGTGTGTGATATACATACGACGGAAATGTTTTTCTGGGATTCATCGTGTGCGATGTACATATGGACAGAAACGACTGGGTTTCGATGTCTCGCCTGATCGCGCATGAGCTCATTTTGCCCCAGCCTGTGTGCCAGGAGGGCCTATCCCCAACGGTTTCTAGGTCGTGTGGGAAGGACCCCCTATCGCCCACACTCACTTGGCGACTGTTCCAAATGCCGTCGAGGAAAGGGGTTAAAAACAGTTTGTATAGCACCGACATGTACCAGTGATTGCGTACTTTGAAATTCAAAATCTGTGATTTTTAAATGTAGGGATTACACTGCACACGGTTTGCGAAAGCAAAACGTCTACGATAAACGTGGAGATCAGACACGTTTCTTGGATCCACTAAGTGTGCGATCAATCTCTACTCCACACATGATTAGCCAAGAAAAAACGTGTGGGATTAACAACAACATCACACACAGTTCCTTCTTATTAAATGTTTGTGAAAGTCACCTTATCACACACGCTTGGCAATTATGGACTGTTTTAAGATGATGTGTGCATTGCAAATGTTTGGTCATAAAAGAACGCATGCGATAGGTCTTCATCTGACGCGGGTACGATGGATGAATCGTGTGGGATATATTCAAGCTTCACATAAGGTTTTATAGGGACAGCTGTATGCACTCTTGCATCGAATCACATAAGTCAAGGAAAAGTGAATGTGTGTGATTTTCTACTTATCATACATGTTCTATAATCATGAACTGTTGTGATGGGTCATGCATCGTAAACGTAGCACCACAGAATATTGACTATGATGGCAATGCGAGCACAAACAAGTAGCAAGGATGGAGCGTTTGGGATATTTGAGATATCAGAAAGAGTTTTATAGGGACAACAATATGCATCATGGCTCCCTATCCCCGACGGTTTCTAAGTCATGTTGGATGGACCCGCCCCCTATCGCCCACACTTGCCTGGAGAAGGTTTAAAATGCCATCGCGAAAAGGCGTTAAAAACCATTTGTATAGCACCTCGCCATACCAGTGGCTATTTGGTTGCTCGGTTGTTTTGGTGAAAACACAAGTCAGGATGTTTGGTTACATGCAACACATGTTGTCTAGTAACCTCCTCGTGGAGGTGCTGAGGTTACCAGCACACTAGCAAGACATGACACAACCAAAATAGATAGCATAGTAACTAGCTTAACTTAGTACAACTCTTAAACAAGCAATCTTGAACAATCAGGACATAGTCTTAAACAAGCAGGGACCAGTTTAAATCTGAGCACAAAGTAGTCAGGCAATAGAGAGCTCTCTAGACATTGGCGCTGAAGGCGTTGTCGTGCTTCTTGCACTTGGTCACCACCTGGTCGTTGAAGACGGTCACCTTCAGGGTGTTAGGAGTCAGCAGCTTGAAGGTGACCATGTAGTCGATTCTGATTTAATGAACAATGGCGAAGGGGCCCAACCCTAATCAAGGGTGACCATGTTGTTCATAAGTCGGATCATCACCCTCCATGTCCAGCTGGTGTTCATCTTGATCTTGAACTCCCGAGGGACGGCGAGGAAGTGCTTCATGAAGTCTAGAGGCATCGGTAGGCAATCCAGCTTTGGGGCAAGGATCACCTTGCAGAAGTGGTTGGTCCTGCCTCCTCATGGTTATGGTTGTAGTTCCTCCGCTTGTCATTGGGGGCTCCTCTATCACATTGTCGTCGCCTAAGGGTGACACCACCTCCTTGCCCTTGTCTAAAGACGACACCACCTTCTTGCCATTGTCTCCGTGTGCTACTACTTCCTTGCCCCTATGTCCGGACGCCACCACCTCCTTGCCCTTCATGTTCTCCATCTCGATCTGCATTATGAACATCATGAAGTTGAAAGGATGATCATCATTCATTCATATCATTCAACGCCCCTATATTTACCAACCCAAAGGCCACCTACTTACCCACTGCCGCACTTAATTAACCCTCTCTCTCTCTCACTGCCACTCCTCTTCCACATCTCTGTTTCACCACCTATCCATCGCCATGAACCCCACCCCCTTCCCATGGGGCATTGGACGGAGGGCTTTCTTCCTTAGCTGCTTGCTCGGTGACCGCACCAAGTTTGAGAACACCATGGAAGTGTGATCTAACTTCACCAGCATCAAGGACATGCATAAGGAAGCAGATGCTGTGGTGGCGAAGGTGACGCGGGAGGAGTTGAAGACATTGATTCCTGACCCAGTCAAAGGTGCTATGTCCATGGACATACCGCGCTAGGCGATGAACCAGGCTGAGTCTGGCGATGCTGGTCAAAGAGCCCGATGGGCCAAGTACAGGCAGTACCTGCCTCGTCATGACCAACCGGTCACCGCTGTGGCACCGACCGTCATCATTTCGGAGCCAGAGGGCGAAGAAGTGATGGAGGTGGTGGTCAGGGCACTTGAGCCAGGCCACCATACTATGCCAATCATTTTGGACGACGGCGAGGATGAGGAGATGGTGCATGCTATGGTCGAGCCAGAGGTGGACAACTACAAGGCCAAGAGCCCTCGCCGCTCCAAGCGCCTCCAGGGTCGTTGTGGCAAGGAATTAGTGGTACTATGTGTAATATTGATTTACCCCCATTCCCCAATCCCCTTGTACTCAATCCGGATCGCATCCTAAAATCCATCGTTGTTGCCTAAATCAAGATGTGCTGATTAGTTCTATCAAAACCCCACAAACAAATGTACCCTAACACGTGAATCGAATGCACAAACCGAATCGAATGCAGAAAGTCAAGAGTGAGAAGGTGAAACATAGAGCTTGCCGCCATTGCTGAAATGTTGTCGGTGATGCCGATGATCGATGTTGGTCCTTGCCTTGCCGTTCTTCGCTTGCTTTGTTGTTCTTCGCTCTGCTGATCGCCGTCGTCGGTGTGAGAGTGGGGAGAGTGGAGAGAGGGGAGAGAGAGCGGCGAGGGAAGGTGAGGGTAATTATGCCGACGCTTCGGGAAATAATGTGACGTCTCCAGCGTGGCTCCTCACGTGTAGCCGCCATTGCCCACGTGCATTCCGCGGGCCTGGCTATGAAAAAACTGTTGATTCGACCATTCCCAGCAGCTTGGCCCGAAGGTGCTTCAAGTTTCATGCTATAGAGACCGGCTCATGTAAACCATCTTTGTACAGGGTATGTATATTCAAATCTTCAATCAATGACATAACTATTACCGAAAAAGACTTTCGCTCCGCTTTATATATATAACAACAAATGACATAACTATTCAATCAGTCGCTTCTCTTTGTCTTACTTTTCACAGTAGACAATTAAACCGTTCATTTTCTTTTGGTGCGGACATGATTGAGAAGTTGTTATGCTCTCGATCTAAGGTTCAGGATATTTCTTCGATTACAGACTGAATTTTAGGATACAAGCTCGGGTTCTAGGGTAGGAGAAAGGGGAATTGGGGGTAGGAGGAAGCCAGCCGCCGCCTGTGTCTTGTTCCAGCCTGCCTCCCTCTCCACGCTCGCAGGTACATATCCCTCTCGATCAGCCAGTGACCCAGCTATGGGCCGGGTACCGCTCACTCCCCTTGCGAGCCCGCGTCGGTCGGCCATGGGCCTCAATCTCCGTCTGGGCCTTGGTCGTAGAAGTAGCAGCGCCTGGTGTAGCTGAAGAAGTAGGAGGGGCCATAACATTCCCCCTTCCTTGAGACGCAGCTTGACCCCAAGCTGTAGCAGCTGGGAAGTACAACCGCAACTCCTCTCGGTCCTCCCATGTCGCCAGCGCTGCTGGCTGGTCAGTCCAGCGCACCAACACTTGCGGTACGTCTACGCCTGCGCGATGATGAATGCGGCTGTCAAGCACCTCCACCGGTTCCGGCTGCGGTGCCGCTTCGTGTGGTAACTCTTCCAGAGCATTTTCCGATGGTGGCAGTGCACTGCGGAGCTGAGAGACATGAAACACCGGATGCACCGTGCTTGTCTCCGGCAGCTTGAGCTTGTACGCCACATTACCCACCTTTTGGATAACCTGAAAAGGACCAAAGTACTTGAACGAGAGCTTAGTGTTAGCGCGAGTGGCCACTGATCGTTGGAGATAGGGTTGCAGTTTGAGAAACACCCGGTCATCCACTTGGAACACCCGATCAGATCGACGCTTGTCCGCTGATTCCTTCATGTGCTGTCTGGCCCGGAGGAGATGCTGCCGCAGCATAGTCTCCATTTGTGCCCTGTCCTAAAGCCATTCCCCTATATCCGGCGAAGCACAAACTATAGTATCCAGGATGCCAAAGTGCCGAGGAGCATGGCCATACAGTACCTCAAAAGGAGAAGTCCCCAAAGCTGAATGAGGTGAAGTATTATACCAGAATTCCGCCAACGGTAGCCATGATGACCACTTGGTAGGGCAGGCATGCACGAAGCAGCGGAGGTAAGTCTCAAGGCACTGGTTGACGCGCTCGGACTGACCATCCGTCTGTGGGTGTCTTGCAGTGCTCATGCGCAACTCGGTGTGCGTGAGACGAAACAGCTCTCTCCACATTACACTCGTAAAGATTGGGTCACGATCGGACACAATTCCTTCGGGCAAACCGTGCAACTTGTATATGTTGATGACAAAGGCCACTGCCACTTGAAACGCAGTGAAGGGATGTGACAAGGCAATGAAGTGCGCATACCGTGAAAATTTGTCGACCACCACTAAGATGCTGTTGTAGCCTGCTGAGCGGGGAAGACCTTCCACAAAGTCCATAGTAATCAGCTCCCACGCTTGCTTAGGCACAGGTAATGGCTCCAACAGCCCCGGGTAACGTACTCGTTCAGGTTTTCCTTGTTTGAATGTCTGACACTGCTCCACAAACAGCCGCACATGGTGCTTGAGACTCGGCCAAGTAAACAGTCTGCGGATCCGCTTGTATGTCACATTGAAGCCGGAGTGGCCTCCAATGGCACTGGAATGTAGTGCTGCGAGCACTTGCTTCTGCAGGGTTACATTGGCTCCCAGCCACACCCTCCCATGCTGGCGAATGACCCCATCCTGCAGGCGAAAGCCCGCATGTCCCTCTGGTGTTGTAGACAATTTCGCTAGCAATTTTTGGGCTGCTGGATCCTGCTCGTAGCCTTGCTGTACTGTTTCCAACCATGCGAGAACCGCCACAGTTATGGTAGCGAGGTCTCCTTGTAACGGCCCAGGGCGGCGTGAGAGTGCATCTGCCGCTTTGTTGTCTTCGCCCTTCTTGTACACAATACGGTATCGCAGTCCAAGCAATTTGGCCATCACCTTTTGCTGCCACGGAGTCGCCAAATGTTGATCCTCCAGATGCACTAGGCTGCGTTGGTCTGTGTGTATGATGAATTCATCGTGCTGGAGATAAGATCGCCAATGTTCCACAGCCAGCAGGATGGCGAGACCTTCCTTCTCATAAGTGGACAGAGCGCGGTTACGCGGGCCCAACGCCTTGCTTAGGAAGGCGATAGGGTGTTGTTCCTGCTGGAGCACCGCGCCAATACCCAGGTCTGACGCGTCCGTCTCCAGTTCAAACGGCTTGGCAAAATCAGGTAAGGCGAGCACTGGAGCAGAGGTCAAGGCGGTCTTGAGAGCAGCGAATGCGGTTGCCTCGAGATTCGTCCACCTAAAGACTATGTTCTTCTTAAGCAGGTCAGTAAGGGGTCTGCTAATGACGCCAAACTGCCGGACAAACTTTCGGTAGTAGCCTGCTAGGCCAAGGAACCCTCGAACCTCTTTGACCGAGGTTGGCGTCGGCCAATTTTCCACTGCTCGGATGTTCTTCTTGTCAGTCCGGATGCCGTCACCACTGATCTCGTGCCCCAGATACGTGAGACTTGGTCTCGCAAACGAGCACTTGCTCCTATTAATCTTGAACTGGTGTTGTTTCAGAATCTGAAACACTTGACGAAGGAGCCTGACATGTGTTGGTTCATCTTCACTGTGCACTAGAATGTCATCTATGAATACCAACACGCCCTTGCGTAGCAACGGTGACAAAGCAGTATTCATCTTGCCTTGAAATGTAGCGGGTCCCCCCGTCAGGCCATAGGACATCACTTTGAATTCAAAGTGGCCATGGTGAGTCTTGAAGGCCGTTTTGTGCTCGTCTTCGGGGCGCATCCGGATTTGATGATAGCCCGCGCGCAAGTCAAGACTGGTAAATAACTTACTTCCGGCAAGTTCATCCAACAGTTCATCGATGATTGGAAGGGGGTAACGGTTCTTCACTGTGATTGCATTCAGGTGTCGGTAGTCAACACAAAATTGCCAGGTGAGGTCTTTCTTTTGCACCAACAGCACGGGTGAGGCAAACGGACTCGAGCTCGGCTGGATAATCCCCTGAGCTAGCATCTCTGCTACTTGATGCTCCACTTCATCTTTCTGTGCCGGGCTGTAACGATAAGGACGAAGGTTCACAGGGCGTGCACCCGGTACCAGAGGAATCGCATGATCACCCTCTCGTTGTGGTGGTAGTCCCGTTGGCTCGCCGAACAGATGCTCATATTCGTTAAGCAGTTGCTGCACTGATTGAGGCACCGGCATCTCAGTCGCTTGAACGGTGTTAGTTTGGACAGTACATAATTGCAGGATGCGTGCCACTCCTGCTCGCTGGAGTAACAAGTTGAGCTCCTCTCCTGAGAGCATCTGGCACTGCGTGACATCTGCCTTAGCCCCTTGCAGCTGCACCTGTTGCCCTCCATACTCAAATTGCATGGTCTTCTCCTGCCAATGCACCTGCATAGGACTGTGACAAGCAAGCCAGTCAATGCCCAAGATGACATCGTAGCTTCCCAATGGCAACACCTTCAGATTGGTCTGGAACTGAACTCCATGCGTGCTCCATTGACAGCTTGGTATCTCTTGATCACTGCGCATCTCGCCCCCGTTTGCCACTCGGACCTTGAGCGCACGTTTGGCCGGTTGTAGTCCCTTGAGATGCTCCGCGAGCGATGCACACACAAAGCTGTGCGAGCTGCCCGAGTCGACCAGCATGATCACCTCACGCCCTTGCACACAGCCATGAAGACGCATGGTTGTTGGGGATTCTGCCCCTTCGATTGCCTCCTTGGAAATGACACAGCAATCTGCTGCCGACTCACTGGTTGCGTTAGGAGTCGCCACATCTTCTTCTTGATCGGGGCGCATCATATCCAGTAATTCCTCCACCACATGTAGTTGTACCGTAGGGCCGCACCGGTGCTCCCGACCCCAGCGTTCGCCGCAGGTGAAACAGAGGCCGCGCGCACGGCGATACGCCTTGAGGGTGGCCATCTTGTCGTCTTGGACAGGTGGACGAGTCACTTCAGGGGTGCGCCGCGTCGGCGCGCGACTATCCTGAGCGATTACAGTTGTAGGCGATGAGACTGGTGGCGGTGGTAGTGGCAAGGCCGTCCGCGGCACCGACCGCAGCACATGGGCCGATGAGTACCGACGGTCCTCGCGTTTGTCCTCACGCCGCAATGCATCCAACACCTCTTCCTGCAAGCATGCGAGATCGACGGCAGTATCAAGAGTTTTTGGGCGATGCAAAACAACAGCAGCTCGAATTTCTTTCTGTAGACCATCAATAAAATGTGTAATGAAATAAGATGGCTCCCAGGACTCGTGGTGTGCTGTGAGATTGTGCATCAGTTGAGTGAATTGCTCGGCATACTCAGTAACAGTGCCTCCCTCACTAAGCCTATTAAACTGCCTCAACAAATTTTGAAACTCTTCTCGACCAAATTGAGCGCACACAGCATCCGCAAATGGCCCCCAATCTCGAAAATGCAAGTGTGCCTTGCTCGACTGTAACCAAGACAGGGCTCCATCGATGAAGTACATCGTGGCACAACTAACCCAAGTATCCGGACTCAATGTGCACACACGAAAATAAGCTTCACACTTAAGCCGCCAAGCTCTAGGCCCATCACCATCGAACAATGGAAAATCAAAACGAGGTGGTGGTGGAAACCGATGATACCCAAAACTCCTGTCTCCCATGAATGAACTCTCTCCGATGTGGAACTGAGAATCGAGCGTACCCGTGACCGGAGGCGCCCTAGGGGTTCGTTCCCCCGGTGACATCCCCCGGTGATCTGAAGTCCTGCCGTGGCCAGTAGACCCGTGGCCGTCGCCACCGCGAACCAAAAGGTGGTCGCTGGGTCGGGGAAGGCGCGCGTCCGCAACTTGTGGAAGCAGGGAAGGCAGGTCTGCGGTTGTTGGAAGGAGGGGAGGCAAATCCGCGAGGCGGACCGGCTGCACCGGATCCTTCTCCCGTGCCGGTGCTGGGTCTTGCGCCAGCGCGGGGGCCGGCCGAATCTCCTTGAGTTGCTGCCGCAATTCGCCCACCTCGGCGCGCAGATCGCCCACCGATCGCTCAATTGCCGGTCTCCACCCTTGGAGTTCGAGAACCACCGGGTGGATCTCGCCGATCTGAGCTGACATAGCGCTGATGGCCGCCGTCAGATCCGCCAGAGCTTTGTTGGTTTCCTCCATGGCTGTTGCCTTGCCGTGGCGAGTCTGGATAATGGAGGGAAATCGGCCTGCCAGTGTTTGGTGGTGGGTGGGAAAGGCTGCTGATACCAAATGTTATGTTCTCGATCTAAGGTTCAGGATATTTCTTCGATTACAGACTGAATTTTAGGATACAAGCTCGGGTTCTAGGGTAGGAGAAAGGGGAATTGGGGGTAGGAGGAAGCCAGCCGCCGCCTGTGTCTTGTTCCAGCCTGCCTCCCTCTCCACGCTCGCAGGTACATATCCCTCTCGATCAGCCAGTGACCCAGCTATGGGCCGGGTACCGCTCACTCCCCTTGCGAGCCCGCGTCGGTCGGCCATGGGCCTCAATCTCCGTCTGGGCCTTGGTCGTAGAAGTAGCAGCGCCTGGTGTAGCTGAAGAAGTAGGAGGGGCCGTAACAGAAGTATGCTAGCAATCAAACATGTCCGAAATGCAGGCATCCAAGGGGGCGAGAGTTGCTCCCAGATAGAGGCAAGGTCGCATACTAGCAGCATCAAACATGTCAAGAACAGAGGCAATCTTGCGGCTCCTCCTGGCCCTTTTCATCCTCCCCTGCAACACATCCATTTCCTCCGCCGCATCCACCGCTGATGCGTTCCTCCACTGCCTCGCCGCCGCCATCCCGCCCAATCTCCTCCACACCCCGCCCTCCCCGTCCTACTCCCCGCTCCTGCTCTCCTCCGTCCGGAACCTCCGCTTCGTCACTCCCGGCACCCCACGGCCTGTTGCGATCGTCGCCGCCGGAGAGGCCTCCCACGCCCAGGCCGCCGTGCGCTGCGGCCGTCTGCACAGCGTCCGCGTCCGCGTGCGCAGCGGCGGCCACGACTACGAGGGCCTCTCCTACCTCTCCCTGGACCCCCGCGAGCCCTTCGCCCTGCTCGACCTCGCCGCGCTCCGCGCCGTCCGCGTCGACCCCGCGCGCGCCGAGGCCTGGGTCGGGTCGGGCGCCACGATCGGCGAGCTCTACTATGCCGTGGCCGCCGCGAGCCGCGCGCTCGCCTTCCCCGCCGGGGTCTGCCCCACCGTCGGCGTCGGCGGCCACCTCTGCGGCGGCGGCTTCGGCACGCTGATGCGCAGGTATGGCCTCGCCGCCGACCACGTCCTTGACGCCGTCCTCGTGGACGCCAGCGGGAGACTCCTGAACAGGACCACCATGGGGGAAGATCTCTTCTGGGCCATCAGGGGTGGCGGCGGCGAGAGCTTCGGCGTCGTGCTGTCCTGGAAGCTCCGGCTCGTGCGTGTGCCGGAGTCGGTCACGGTGTTCACCATCCGTCGGTCAAGAAAACAATTGGCCACCCATCTCATAGCCAAATGGCAAGAAATCGCGCCCGCCCTGCCCCCCGACCTCTACCTACGGGTCGTCGTGCATAACCAGGACGCTCAGTTTCAGTCCCTGTTTCTTGGCCGATGCGACCGCCTCGTCAGTCTCATGCGAGCTCACTTCTCTGATCTTGGAATGGTGCGAGCAGACTGCGAGGAGATCACCTGGATCCAATCCACCATGTACTTCGCGTTCCACTCCAGCTTCAAGCCATTAGAGCTGCTCTTGGACAGGGGTAACAAGCCAGACAGTTATGTGAAAGCTAAGTCTGACTACGTGCAAGTGCCAATCCCATGGCACGTCTGGGAGAGCACATGGACATGGCTGGCGAAGCAGGAAGCCGGGATCCTCATCCTAGATCCCTACGGCGGCAGAATGGGAAGCGTCGCGCCGTCTGCGACGCCTTTCCCTCACCGGAAGGGGAATCTGTACAACCTCCAATACTACTCCTCTTGGTCTGAGAATGGAACAGATGCGTTTGATAAGCATATGGCCTGGGTCAGGGGTCTGTACAAGCAGATGGAGCCATATGTATCCAAGAACCCAAGAACTGGGTATGTGAACTACAGAGACCTGGATCTTGGCAGGAATGAATTGGGCGACAATGTGACCAGCTATGCAAAGGCTAGAGTTTGGGGGGAGAAGTACTTCAAGGGCAATTTTGAGAGGTTGGCAGCAGTCAAGGCCATGGTGGATCCTGATGACTTCTTCAGAAATGAGCAGAGCATCCCACCTCTTCCTGCTGCAAAGGGATGGAACTCCATGTGATTGGAGGTTTGTTTTTCTAAGGACAACTTCAATTTTTTAAAATAAAAAAGGATTTGGGTGTGGCTGTTATTTGGGATGGGTGTCAGATATGTGCTCTTTTAGAAGACTTTTTTTCCGAGTCCAATGAGGATGATTAGATGGTAGTAGTTGTCACAAGTTGATTCTAGCATTGTTTTTAGTGGTGAGATAGATGCATTACTTTGGCAATAGGAAAGTAATAGAGTTTATCCTCTCAGTCCGTACTATATAGGAGTACCCAGTTTACTATGTTCCTGCAGTTTGAAAACTTCGTGTGCTATGTTGAGTTACAAGTTAATGGGTCTAGCACCTGTCGCTAATCTCCAGTCTGTGTGGAGGGGTAGTCTACACTGACAGGCAGATGTTTCTACCAGTCACTGGTTGTGCCCATCAGTTTGAGCTTTTAGAGATTTTTAAGGAAAACATAGTTTAAATAACAGTGCATTCATCACAAATTAGACACAATTACAAGTCAACAAGATACATCCACCATTACAAGTTTTAATAAGTTAACAGTACTTCGCAATACCACAACACATAATTAGCTGATGCAAACTCAAACAATGAATAAGCAGCAGTACTGGACAAACCCTTGATCTCGGCTCGAGGGGGGAATAGAAAGCCATTGCCTATGAAGGTGTACGCCATTTTCTGCCAACCACAATGCTCTAACTCCTTCATTGCACTGCAACCATTAAGTAACAAGTTTACATGAGCTAATCTAGTCATTACACACCTCACCGAAATTTAAATGGAAACCAAAGTAACTTAACCTTTCTTTTGAGCAAAAGAGAGGCCTTCCCCCAAAGCAACTTAACTGGCACAAATCATAAGCATTCCAGACGACTAGATATCTTGGAGAAACAAGCATTCATGCACCTCTGCTACATAAAGTGAACAATTTTCTGTATGATTAGAAGGTGCAGAGGATGTGGATGCTGAGGCTTATGCCATGAAGTTGTATCAGAAAGTTTTGGTAGTGGACAGTCTGATAATGGACATGGAGGTGGTGATCATGAGTTAGAATCCAATTTGGGTGCTGGAGAAGGAGGAAAGAAAACTTCATGAGGAGCAAAGGTAAAAGATATATCTATGGAGGAAAGGAGATCTAGTGGCAGAACAGATAGTGATCGGAAGGTTATGGGCAAGGCTGTTAATAGAGCGAAGTACAAGAATTTGGAGATAGTTGTGGGTATTATTGTGCTTCCCAACTGTTTTTTAATTCTGTGTAATCTAAGATAGGAGTAAAGATTGGTAATAGTAATGTACAGATAGGCAAAACTGTTGATGCTATTCAGAGACTTAACAAGCTAGTTGTGATCTTTTTATTGCTAGTATGGTTTCCTTTTGATGCTAAAATCCAGAATGGGGAATCAAAGGCAAGAGTAAGAGTGCCTTGACCCCGAGTTTTGTAGAGGTAGAGGAGGTTCTGGTATTGATATAGGAAGAAGTAGAGCTAGAGCTTGATTGTTCTTTGATGTTGTTTATCATGTCTGCCATCTCGAGTGTCCATGTGTGGAACCTCCGAGGTAACCGTCATTCTTGAGGTGTTTCTAAATGGCCTGGTACTCTGAGCTCTGACTACCTTGGCAAACTCCCGGGTACCTAGTTTTAGCGCCTGACCTTTCAAGTTTTTCCCCCGAAACTCCCGGAGCGCCGCCAAGGGCGATTAGGGTTTTGCGGGTGGAACTCGACGGCGCACGCGGGTCTACGGCGTGGCACACCGGACGTGATCCCAGTGATAGCTTCATCAGCGGGGCATGGCAACGGGAAAGAGCCCCTGTCGCCGGGCGCGGCAAGGGCGAAGCTGGCGGAGGCCCTAGGTAAACTGGATATTACTGAAGAAGAGGCGACACCGCTGGTTCTCGATGACAGAGAGGACGGTCAGCCGGAGAAGTGGATGATAGCGGGGAGAGTTCTGCACCGACGCGTTCTGCACATACAGACGATCATCAGCGCACTTCGTCCGGCATGGGGCAACCCCAAAGGTCTGAACTTCAGATCGGTAGGGGAAAACACGTTCGTGGCTGAGTTCGCGAGCAAGAGAGATCGAGATCGAGTTTGGGAAGGATCGCCTTGGCATGTAAGTAAAAACGCCGTCGTCTTGCCGGAGTTTGATGAGTGCATGCGGCCTTCTGAACTGAGTTTTACCAAGCTTCATATGTGGGCAAGGGTTATCAATTTGCCCTTCAATCTTCGGGGAGAGAAGTGGTGTGCTGCAATAGCGAATCAGATTGACAAGCATGCATCTGGGGTGCAGTTTGATCATATTAATGGCTACCTTAGAGCTAGAGTTTTAGTTGATGTGGACAAACCATTGAGGCGCTGGATCTTGATTGAGTCAGCGCGGCGGAAACAGACGGATTTGTATGACATCCAATATGAGAATATTCCGCACTTCTGTTTCTCATGTGGAAGGTTGGGCCACTCAGATCTGCATTGTCTGACTCCGGGCACTCGAGATGCCAATGGGGATCTCCCCTTTGGAAGAGGGCTGCGGGCACCGGAGGATCGCAGGGCACAGAGTGCTAGTGAGAACTCGTCTCGGGAACAATCGAATAGCCAAAAGAATAAAGCAGAGACAAGAGGTTCAAAAAATGCAGCTGAGAAAGGAGCTGAAGTTAACTCTCCGGCCAAGAACAAAAACCTGAATAAGCGCAAGGGAGGGCCGCAGGAGAAGAAGCCAGAGTACAGAAGGGTCATACCCTTGCTAATGGAAAAGGCACACAACCTAGAGGAAGGCCAAAAGGGTGATGTAGAGGTGCGATCGGACTCCTCTGAGAAAATTGGTGAAGATGGGAGGCTGCTAAAAAAGAAGAAACCTACCCCGGTGAATTCCGGTGAGACGGCAGAGGCTGCGGTGCAGCCCTGCCAGGCTCAATGAATTGCCTCAGCTGGAACTGTCGCGGGCTTGGGAACCCAGCGACAGTTCGCGAGCTTCGCAGTGTGGTGAAGCAAGAAGGGCCCGGTCTTTTATTTCTGATGGAGACTAAAATTGCGGCGAAGAGGGTACAAAGTCTGCAAAATCTTCTGGGATTTGCGGGCTGTTTTGAAGTTGATAGCGATGGTTTAAGTGGGGGCATTGGTCTATTCTGGACAAATGATGTTCAGGTGGATCTTCAGAGTTTCAGTTCGGGGCACATAGACGTGATGGTGCAGAATAATAATTTGCACCGGAATAAATGGAGATTTACAGGTTTTTATGGGGCCCCTCATGTTTCGGACAAACACCACAGTTGGAGATGTTTGCAGACTTTGTTTTCTATCCAACACCAGGCGTGGTTATGTGTAGGGGATTTTAATGAAACATTGTATGCCACGGAACATTTTTCGCTGGCTGCCCGGCCTGAATGGCAAATGCGTGCGTTCCGTGAGGTAGCTGATGATTGCTTGTTCCAAGACATGGGATGATCTGGAACAGAGTACACGTGGGACAATGGTCAAACGGGTGATGATAATGTTAGGGCACGACTTGATAGAGCGTTCGGGAACCCAGCATTGATTCAGACATTTGGGCACTCAAAAGTTCGGCACATAAGTACTACGGACTCCGACCACTGCTTGGTCCTGGTCGAACTACGTACGGATGTGGCCGAAAGGAGAAGAAGAGGGAAGCAGTTTCGCTATAAAGATGTATGGCAGACTCATGCAGATTACGATAGTGTTGTCTTGAATAACTGGCAAAAAGGAGCTAGTCTGCAGGGTCTGACGGGAGTAATCAGCGCGCTTAACAACATGCAGAGCTCACTATCCACATGGGGCGCGCGTGAATTTGGCAGCTTGACGGCAAAGGTGAGGAAACTCCGACAGAGCTTGAACAAGCTTAGAAGTCGTGCGGGCAGACGTGGGCCAACTGATGAAGAGAGATCCATCGTCAAGCAGCTACATGAGGCACTTCATCAGGAGGAAATATGGATGCGCCAGAGGTCCAGAGTACCTTACTTGCGCGAGGGAGACAGGAACACAAATTTTTTTCACGCACAGGCTGCTCAACGCAGAAGGATGAACAAAATTGAGGGACTTGTGCGAGCTGATGGGTCGGTATGCCAATCCTGGGAAGATGACCATGAGGAGGTGCAACAGTTCTATACAACGTTGTACACGTCTCAAGGAGTCCGACCCCTGGATGGACTATTGGATCTAGTTCCACCTAGGGTGACAGCACCTATGAACGCACACCTAGATAAGCCTTTTACGGCAGAAGAGGTGAGGGTGGCTCTGTTTCAAATGGCCCCATCAAAAGCACCCGGCGTGGACGGCTTTACTGCGGGGTTTTTTTTCAGAGGCATTGGCAATTAATCAAAGATGATATAATCCCGGCAGTGTTAGGGTTTTTGAATGGAGGCAATCTTCCAGAAGGTATGAATGATACATCCATTACCCTCATTCCAAAGGTTTGGCACCCACAAAGAATAACCCAATATAGACCTATCTCTCTTTGTTCTGTTCTGTACAAGATTGCAGCAAAATGTATTGTTAATAGGATGAGAGATTTTCTTGACGATATTGTAAGTGAGGAGCAAAGTGTGTTCGTGCCTGGGCGCCTCATTACAGATAATGTTCTTATTGCTCATGAGAGTATCCATGCAATGAAGAAAAGGAGGAAAGGAAAGAATTGGGTATGTGCTGTTAAGTTGGACATGATGAAAGCTTATGATCGTGTCGAATGGCACTACCTACACGCGATTATGACAAAGTTGGGCTTCAGCTCGACCTTTATCCGACTGATTATGAAGTGTGTAACATCAGTGCGGTTCGCAGTACGAGTGAACGGGGAGTTGTTGCCTTTTTTCACCCCTTCAAGGGGATTCAGGCAAGGATGCCCTATGTCACCCTATTTATTCCTATTGTGTGCTGAGGGTTTCACTGAACAGATTTGGTGGAGCTTATGTAGACAAGGGGATTCGAGTGTGCACCCAGTCACTGTGGATTAATCATCTACTGTTTGCAGATGACAGTCCCACTTTTATGAAAGTTAAGCT